TGGATTAAAAAACTGTGGTACATACATACAATGGAATACTACGCATCCCTAAAAAGCAGTGGTGAACGCTTGAAGCACATCGCCGCATGGGAAGAACTGGAGGAAGTTATGCTAAGTGAAGTAAGTCAAGCACAAAAGGACCAGTAAAACATGAGTCTGCTGAGGTAAGCTAAAAAATTGAAAAGGGGGCATAGGGAAAAAGCTACTGCATACATACATTCTGGAGTGAGGTCCAGGTAATATGGCAGGGACCAGACCAAATCCAGGGGTATATATGGCAGCCAACTAAAAAGAAGGTGGGTGGGGTAAGGCATGGGTAGCGGGGGCACAGGGCACTAATCCACCCAAGAGGAGGGTGTTGTTTATATCTCCACAGGGAAAGAGGGACCAGACTTCAACCCAGTGCTCCAAGACAAGAATGCAACACACTGGCATGAAGCAAGGAACCAATAGAGATGGCTGAGGGGTCAGCCTCATTACCAAGTACATGGGCAGCACCCCTCCCTCTCCCCATCCCCGCCCTCCACACACAAGAATTCATTTCAGAAGACACCATTGAAGCTACAGCTCAGGGAGAGGGACATGTCTGATCGTAGCACACAGGAGCAAAGGAGGGGGGAGGGAAAAAGAGTGAAGCACATCCTGGCCCACCAGGCCCTGAGGACGATATTTCTGCTCAGAGCAGCCAATGCGGAGAGGACCATAGGCCGGCCCCACCATGAGACATGACGCTCCTCACTGGCCCATAGCGCCAGGGTGCACAAGACATACTGCGGGAATTGTGTCTGATTTGACCCCACCACACCAAGGACTACTATCTGATTCATGGACTTGAGTTCGACTGGGCTGGGATGCTTTCTTGATATGCAACTACTTCTTGACGTAACGCTCTTTCCTACACACATGTGAGCGTCACTGGGTCTGCTTCTCTAGCCAGCGCAGCCTCAGACAACAGAACGCACAGATAATCCAGTCATGAGCTTTCCTAGGGACGTTGAAAATCAGAAATATTTAGGATATAGTTATTTTGTCGGGACCGCTTATTATCAGCTGTGCATATAGGCATGCCTCCCGCTGGTCCTCGGACTTTCAGTCACATGGCCCCGTGGCCCCGTCATACTCTGGCAAGTGATACAAAGCTCCTTTAACATCATCTATAGATTCCCACAGGCACTCCAGCTGGCCTTAAGTCTTAGCCTAGGTGCTTGGCTCTAGGTCTGTGGGTCAGTAAATATAGCTCCCTGATGAAGTCCCTAGAGGTAACCCACTTTCCAAGCCACCCTGATGCCCAGAGACATCAGTTCCCCCTCCTCCTCCAGCTGGTCCTGAACTCTGCTCCCTCCGAGGCCAGTACACCTTGCGTGCCTGCATGAACCAGGTTCTGAGTGCAGGAATCTGTGAGTCCAGAAGACGTTTTTCACTCCTGGCTTTTTTCCTTAATGGCAGCGAGATCCTCTGTTCTTGCCTTTGAGATGACTGATTTTATAGCGAGTTGGGCGGCAAAATTGACCAATTTCCAATTAGAGTTCTTTACATCCTATTTGCATGTTTCGACCCAGTCATTTGGCGAGAGTTAAAAAACAACGATGGCTAGAAGAGTCGTATCAATTAATGTACAGCACCACCCTTCCCTTTTCGCAATCTGATATGAGCAGCCAAGCAGTGAGAAGATGATTTTCTCTGGGGGTATGGTCTGCATTGATGATACAAACAATTGTTCTGGCAAAGCTCATTCTCTTTCAGATCCTGCAGTCTTCTCATAATATGACATTGGTTTATGGGACAGAAACCAGCAGAAGCCTTCGGCCTGTCCTCTGTCATGCAGGTGTGTGCTTCCCCACCACCGCAACACTGGAGCTGGGGAAGGTCTTCAGTCTGTCATCTGATTCACCGCTTTGGGACTTTCCAACTCTGACAATTGAGTGCGGCATCTCCTCATAATTGCACAAACTATGTCCTTGAGGTAAATCTCCCTATATATTTTTATCTATATTTATATTTTCAAATATATATTTATATTTGTTCTGTATTGCTTTTGCTTATCTAGAGCACCCAGAGAGGAGCTAGTCGTTGTGCCTGGGGTGGCTATCTGCATGGTCTTCAGTTTGAGGCCACCAGGAGCTCTGCGGAAGAAAGACCGGGCTGTCCACTCTCCTAGATCAGTTACAGTCTTGGAAACCCAAGAGGGCTTCTCTCGGAGTCAGCATTGAGTCAGCAGCGGTGAGTCTGGTTTAGAGAGGGCCCAGACAAAGATACTGTTGATTTAATGAATTACACTCAGATGTTTAAATAACCTTGTATTTTGAGGCAAACTCTAATATATTGGTGTGTGTAGTTCTGATAGTTTGCTCATTGTTGATATAGTTATCTATAAGAAGTTTTCGATGGCGCCAAGGCATCGCCTGTGGATGGCCAGCGCACTGCCTTCCAGATGGGCTGCGAGGGAACCGTGGCTTCTCCGAGTCGCTCTCCCAGGCTCTGTCCCTGTGGCCGTCATGGCCCATGGAAATCAAAGAGAACCTGCATGCCAGAAAAACAGGAAGAACACCCAGGAGATTCGCAAGGGAAAAAGAAAAGAGGAAGCAGAGGGATTCTGAGATCATGCAACAAAAGCAGAAGGCAGCTAACGAGAAGAAGTCTATGCAGACAAGAGAAAAATGATGACTGGCTAGTTTGGAATACCTGGGTGCTCCTGCCAACTAGGTGTTTATCATATGCTCTGAGATCCAGATTTTGTAGAGTGAACCATCATTACATATGCTATAACTTATCCTTAGAAAATGGTCTGTTTTAAACTTTATCTTTCCATCTGATGTAGTGTGATGTTTTAGAACCATTCTTCACAAAATAAAACCCTAACCATGCATGTAAAAAAAAAGAAGTTTTCATTAACTATTTGAAGATGGTTATATCCCTTTCAAAGTCAGTTCAATACTTACATGATATTTGTATGTGCCAAGCTGATTTTTAAAGCATCGTGCACATAATAGATCTCTTAGGCATTATTGTCATATCTATATGCAAATAAGAAAGCACAGACCTAGAAGATATATGGAATTTTATGAAGGTTTTCATCTATATTGACATTAAGCTACGAATCGAAAAGCTAGTGTATAAATGTAGACTCTTAGCTCCTAATAATATGCCATACTATTCATTTACAGCTTATTCTCATCTTGCTCCTCAATTTTCTTCTTAATTCTCAGCTACTTGTTAATTGCTACTTTTCTCCTCTCCCCGCTTCTCAAGAGCTCCTTAGGGCCACTCTCTCACAGGTCACATAGAGACTGGGATGCGGGCTACCTTTGCTTCAATGTGCCACCTTACTGTGGTGGTCCTACTGTGGGCAGCCAAGGACTGCAGGGCATTTCTGAGCTAGTCTCTAGCCCCGGTCCCCACAGTGAAGAAGGAGATACTTCCCCTGTGTTTCTGTTTCTACTCAAATATCTCATTATCGCTCTCACCTTTGATCCAAGAAGGTGGGAGCAACTGACTCCATCTCAGGGGCCCAGGCAGCTTAGCGTTGTTTCTTCCCCTCCATGGGCCTCATCATCTTCCTTGCACTCGGTGTTTCCCTTGCTGTATATTGGAATGTTCCTTGGTATCCTTCCTTCTTGCTGCACTGAGGCTGAGAAAGAAAACCCTATGTGCTGACACCAAACTTTGCTTTTGCAATGTGAAACAGAAGCCTTTAGAATTTAGAAAATATCCTTGTCCCAACAAATCTTAGTGCTCCAGAATATTATCTTGCTATGAACTCAGGAATAATTTAAATTAGAATCTCAAACTTGAATAATGACTTATTTATTCTATGAAATATACAACTAACTCTTTAAGTAGTGAATATCACTCATTTAATGGGTGTGGAGTCAAAGGGAAGTGGATTGATGATGAATTAAAAATGCATTGGCTTAACATTTTCAGAAGGATTATTGCTTTTGCAATGTTATTCTCACAGGGAATCTTAAAATAGGCTCATATTCACATATCCCCTGACGAATAACCCAAATAATGGAGAGTCTGACGCTGGTTATGCTTAACTTTAGCTGGTTATGAAGCATAAATATTTTCCAAATAAGAAATGAAAAATGATCTTGCTTTCTGCTAATCTTACCATTATTGCTCCTTAAAATGTACCACAAAATTAATTCAAATTTGGCCTAAAAAACGAAAAGTACTTCTATTTTTATGCTTCCTATTTTAACTCACAATTCATTATACCTGGCTGTCGAGTTTGGGCAAAATTGGAGTTTTCGCTAACTGATGAGGGGGTGAAAACCGACTGCTGTGGAGCTGAGGCCAGTTCATAACATCCCCCTGGGACAGGGCAGAGCCACGTAGCAGCTTTTCCAGACTGTGGTCTTATGAACGTAAGCTGCCAGTGCCTTCTCTCGCAGAGGCTTGTGGGCTCTCTCAGTTAGCAGTGGAAC